TTGCTATTTTGAAATAAGTTCATACTTATTTTTATCAAAACATAAAAAAGTAAATAAAGAAATAAAGCAAACAATTATCTCTTCTAGTTGCAACCTTTGTACTCGGTTGCTGCTTAATGTAGGTTGCTAAGCCTTTAAACATTTTGCACATGGAGGATATGAAAGAAAATAATTTGTTTTAGGTTTTATATATACATTTGAATAACTAAAAAATCATAAATTTCTACATCAGTACCATAGAATTCCACTATAATTTATCAAGCTTAGTAACTAAGATGTATTTTAGTCTATAAAAATATGAAATTTCAAGCAGACTAACGACACAACCTACCTCATTGAAATATTGGTTCAAAAGAAATGGCACCAAGTCCGTTAAAATGGCTGAGAAAGCCACTAAGGGGACATTCTGAGCTTTCGATTGATTATTCATGTCATATATAGAAGTAAGTGTATATAAGGTGGGTGGGGTGCCACTGTGTCTGATTTATTATGTGAGCAATATCTTAGCAAATAGAAAAGATAAAACCTTCTTATTTTATATTCTAGCTTGTCAATATTGGTAATTTGACTTTCTAATTCATACAAAACTATAGACATAGTATTTTGACTTCACAAACATCTAATTTAAACCAGTGCTGCATTCAACATACCACGTGACACACAAAAATCGATGTTTATCTGTATTTTTCTAACATTTACTTTTAAATTAAGAAATTTAGTAACATACAGTACTAAAATTTGAATTATAATCTATAGTTTGATGCCAAACTTATTGACATAAATTCATGAAATAGTAGTTCATTAACATTTTCAATGCAAGTCAACAAACGAGATGACATGGCCTTTCACCTGTGACCTGTCTCAAAAGGGTTAAAGCACAAATATAAGTGAGAAACACATAAAACACACACATGTAAGAAATTATTTGACTGACATGTACAGTCTGCCAGCTAGAATTCTAAGTTTACAGCTTACTGAATATTTTTTCAACAATAATTATACTGTTAACATAACTAACAGTAAAATGTATTATTCTATATAACTTTGATTGTTGTTCAGTTACTGAGAGTTTAAACTGCTTTTCAATTAAGCAATGACACTTAAAAAGATACAAGAGTAATCCATCAGAGCATGCTTGCATTTCTATGAAGGCTGTGATAATATTTTTACTGGAGATCTAATAATCACCCTCCCATTAAAGTTAAACTTTTAAGTCTTTTTTTATGAAATTAAACAAAAAGACAAATTTCTTGCTTACAACATCTCCTTTAAGTCCTGGAGGTCCAATAGGTCCTTTCATTCCCTTTTCTCCTTTCTCTCCTGGGTCTCCTTTTCTTCCTGCACGCCCCATTCGACCACGATGTCCCTACAAAAAAATTATTCTTTTGTATCATTGTGAGGAAAATTATAACAGTTTAAAATGACAGAAGTGTTATTACTGGATCTTGATAATGTCATAGATCTTACATAATACTTTGTCACACATTAAGCTAGTAGAGTTAACAGTATAGTTAATATACCAATTCAACATACAGTACTAGAATATTCATGCAGTGACACATTTCATCTTGTTACACATTAAGCTATTACCGTTAACAGTAAAGTCAAGATACCGTTGTTTTTAGATCAAAGCCACATTGGAATATCTGCTGTTTCCACCGTGGAGAATCAAACCCTGGATTAGCATTGCAATTCCATAAAATTACTACTGTCTCACCAGAGGACTTAAACTACCAATTTGACATATACTGTAGTACTAGGACATTCCTGCATGTGACACATTTCATGTTGTTACACATTAAGCTCTGACACTTAACAGTATGAAAAAATCTAAATGTCTAATTATAAAACAGTATACTATGACAGAATATATAATTTCATATTGTTAGTATATTCTTTTAACTGGTTCTAATTTTTTCATAAATTATTGATTAATTTTTTTTGTAGGAAGTTTATGTAAAAATAATTTATTTGAAATTTAATACTCGATTAAACACCACTAGAGGTGCTTACCAAAAAGGTGCTAAAAAGTGTAATCCTGCACATATTTCTTGAGATGTTTTACCAAAAAAATCAAGTCTGACTAAACTCAACATTTAAACACTTATTTTGAAGATATTTTGAGTTTGCAATACCTTCTTATGAAAGTCAATTAAACTACATACTACATATCAGGTTTTATGTATAGATGGGCTGGATTCTTTACAGTAGGTGTCCATGACTTGTTGATGATCAATTTCAACAATAAACAAACAGCACATAGTCCACTTGTTTTAAAATAATATATTAAAACAATTCAAATATATGAACAAATGTTTATAACACTGTTGGTTATCATAGTTGTATCCAAACTTTAAATATTTGTCTCTTTTTCATCATATTCCACACAGGATAGTTCAGTTACTTTAGAACACAATTGACAAGACAAAATATTCTTCCCTACTCTGTTACTGCAATACAGTCTGTGATAATTTCACTTTAAAAATCGCCACTATACACTCTTTATGGCTAAACTCACAATCATGCAGTCTAGATCTATCTACCTATCTCTCTCTATATTTTGGACGTGTATTCATAGCCCAACTGAGGCCTAGAACATTCCACAGGCTACAAAATATTATGATGCAATAATACTCAATGAAAACAACATGAAAAACATAGAAGGTTTTAGTAACAGGATCCAATAATATAACAATCACCAACTGTTACATATAGAAACCTGTGATAAGCTATCACTTCTAAAATAAATAAATTTAACACTCACGCTAGATAAACTATATAGATCATAACACTCATATTAAACTTAAATTGTTTATCTAACACTACCTAATGTTTTTTGTAAATAGAATACATAGACAAGCTGTACATGAAAAGCAATGATTATGGTTTAACTTTCTGGTTAATTATCTTTCATTCATCTTTAACAGAAGTGCAGTTATTCAAATATTAAGGTGAATGTGATTTTATTTTGCATATTGCTTTTTTTTTCAGATTAATGTGATCAATATATTTTTTACTTACAGTGACATGTTATTTTGCCTTCATATATCTCTACTTGTGTGAATTTGTTGTAGCAATATTGATTATAGCATGGACAAATTGTTTTTATTCTATTTTGAGTTCACCTATGAATTTTTGTTTGTAGTTAAGCACAAAGCTTCACAATGGGCTATATATGCTGTGCTCACCACATGTACCAAAACCCAGTTTTTAACCTTATAAACCTACAGACTTACCACTTAACCAAATGTGGACCCAGTGAAAGAAGAAGGCTGCTTATGAGTAAGTTGTAAAAATCACACACTGGGTAGATTTCTTTTCTGGAATTACTACTCATTTAATCAAATAAAAAATGTTCCTTACTTTCACCTCTTTCTATTTTACAGCTCTTCTAGGTGAAAGTAAATGACAAGGTTGATGAAAATGTTTTTAAATATGATGCTATAGATAACAGTAATTAATAAAATATAACATTTGAAACCATAATCACCTTCACTCCTTTACGACCCCTCACTCCTATTTCTCCTTTAATTCCAGGTGGACCCTGTCATAAATATAACATGAAAGTTCATACTTTAAAATGCCTGAAAAAAAAGCAAATAAAAAAATAATAAAAAATCAATTACTAAACAATTAGTGCTAGTATCATTCATTTTACAGTAAACTATCATTCACTTTTAAATTGAAACAGAATGTTTGATTGAATTCCTCTTCTTGCATCATACATAGATACTCAGTAGGGTAATAAACTAATGTACAAACTACAAATAGTGAACATATTCCATAAAAAGCAAATAATATGAGGAATAGAAATTATCTTGAAAAGACTTTATAAAATTAACTATAGAGAATAAAGTTTAGAGATGGCTTGAATGGATAGTGAAATAAACTTTATTACAAATGTACAACATTTCAACAAACTTATGTCGTCATCAGAGAAGTGTTTACTATTTCACTGTTAGTTTTCTTCATGCTTATTGACTAAGTTTTAAACGTGTTTTAAGAATCTTTAATTACAAACATACTTCTGTTTTGTTGTTTTTTACTCTGTTAAGAAGACATTTATAAAACACATCTTTAGCACAGGTAATCTTCAAAATATATAACATCCATCATATAAACAGGTAACGATACCCACTATGAGTCCAGGTTGACCTGGTGGTCCACTAAGTCCAGGTGGTCCAACATCTCCCTGTAATTTAAAAAATACAATAAACAATTAAAAATCGATTAAAGGTGAAATTACTAAACCAAAGGATATAAAAAACTAGAGAAAGAGACTGAGGCAGTTGTTGTAGTAGATGTGTATTAAGAAAAGCTGGCTTATTCCTGCAGAAAAGAAACAGGTATATTATCTAGCATAAAACCTCTATTTTACATCATGAAACATTATTACAAAATAAAAGTTGTACAGTTTTTACCAATTTATTCATAGTTTTAATAAAACCAGCAGACAAATTACCAGTAAACATTCCCCATTTACAACTTCATGTAACAGATACTTAGAGACTTTCAGAAGTAGAAAATTTCCAAGAAAATAAAAATTGACAAGTTTTAAAACTTTTTTTCTCATATATTACTATTTATTTATAATTCAGACAGAGAAAAGATTACAACATATGGACTTTCCATGTAGTCATATGCTTTAATAAACACATGTTCTACGTGAGTCTTTTATTGTCCTTTCTTTGTCACATTTTTCAGTTCTTCATTACATAAATGTTACAAATAATTTGAATCTCAAAAATATCAGTTTTTATTCTATTTCATTTTTTCCCCCATTTTTAATAAAATTTATTGTAAATACTTTTCAATAAATGTAACAGTTAGCTTAACATTAAAGTGGAAATTATTTAACAAAAGTGGTAAAAAACAAGTGAAGCGACAAATCAGTTATTTAACTTTAAAGATATGAAATCAAAAACAACACTAACCGCTGGGCCAGGAGATCCTCTTAGTCCTGATGGTCCAGGAGGACCTGCTTGTCCCTAAAGCCATCAAACCAAATATAGGTAATTAGGTATAATAAACAAAGAAGAAAATGTGAAATATGGGTTTCGTCAACAAGATCACTTCATGCTTGTAAAATAGCAGCACTTTTAAAAAACACAAGTTAAGCATAAAAAAAACAACTTATTTTTATACAAATTTTGTTAAATTTCATTAAGCAAAAAACATTCAATAATTTTGTCTTAAAATAAATGTATTTTGAATAAAAGTTTCAATCAATAAATATATTTTATCACAGTTCAAGAGGAAACTATTTTGATTTCTAACATTACAAAACTACACAAAAATCATATACAATATTCAACATTCCTCAAAAATGACTTTATGTATTCAAAAAACTTCAATATTTGTTTGTGTGCTTGTCAAATCTAAATGTTATGACACAGAACATAAGAATATTGTCAGTTGGATTAAAAAAGGCTTTGTAACATATATTTGGTGCAAAAAAAAGAAAGTATTACTCATCCTTTATCAGAAAACAAACTATTTTCTGAAATGTGTCTAATTTTCAATTAAATGTTTCCGCTAAAAATACATAACCTAATAAGACCTGAATGGTGATAATTTCAGTTTTCAAATGAGAGTTTGTATGTAGTCAAAAATAAAAACATTTTCATATTTTTAAGAACATGCAAACCAGAAATTTTCAAAATATTATTAACTCACTGGAGGTCCAGGTGGTCCCTGTTCTCCAACAGGTCCTTCGACACCCTGATCTCCCTTCTCACCTGGTAGACCTATATCACCCTGAGCACCAGCAGAGCCATCAGGACCCTAAATAGAACATGCAATGTATCACAATTAACATTTTATTGTAATATAGTGCAAGGCTCATAATTAAAACAATACTCTGACTAGGAAATCAATTCAATTTGATTTCCTTGTTACATCATGAGTCACTATATAATATACAATATCAAGCTCACATTCCAAAACCAGAAAACATTTAGAAGTCGTATACAGATTGCATTAGACAACAATTTAAAATGTGTTTATATTTCATAGCTTACCAAATACTGAGTAGCTCTTTTAGTTCTACATCTACCATTTAATTACTGTAATATATCTGTTTATGGCAACTTACTGTTTTTCCTGGGGCTCCAGGCAATCCCATTTCTCCAGCTTCTCCAGGTGTGCCCTAAAAACACATGCAAATTATATATTTGCAAGCTTAACACTAATGTAATCTCATAATGATTTAATTACTTCTACAGAAATAATGAAACCTATATACAGATACAGAATGTTTTCAATTGCTTTTTTATATTTTTAGATTTCTGGACCAATAACTAAGTAAAAGAACTCAACTCTAATGTTAAATTTATTGCTGGTAAGTCTTAGAAAGTAACAAATGTTTATATCTTCAATCACAAATGTTCAGTAATAGCTGAATGAACATGAAAATTACTTTAGTTATAAATAATTTTCAATATTATTATTCTGACTGTCACATACTCTCCAAATAAAGTGTGTTGAATATTAAACTACTGAAAGGTAAAAAAAAATCAAATTTTTCTAGTTCACACTTACAGGTGGTCCTGGTTCTCCAGGCTTTCCATCGTCTCCATCCAATCCTCGTTCTCCCTAGATTATAACTAAGAGTGTGTAATTTGTTCTAAGTCACAATAACTAGATTAATCATTCATATGAAAAATATATATTCTTGTATACATTCATATCATAAATGTTAAAAGCAATAAATCTAAAATTTCCTCATCACCTTCAAAATTACTTTCGATTTAATTGCACAATTTCAGTTAACAGAACACACAATTAAAATACTTACATGTACCTATAAACTATGTGCCTCACAATTTAATCATTTTGTCACTTGCAAATTATCATTTAACCCCAGGGCAAGAATAATCCAAATGCAGGTCATTATATATTCTGGAGACAAGCAAAAATTTTTGAAACATTAGAACACAAAATAAAAAAACAATATCCACACCAAACTAGGAGACTAGAACTTTTCTTATCTTACATCCTTCTTTTTTTTTTTGTCCAAAAAGAAAATTTCAATTAATTAATACACTTGTATAAAACTGTGCAAGTTTCTGACTTGATGTACTGTATAATGAATCATAGATAAGATTTTTTACATCAATTATACTTCTATCTAAACTGATTTATCTGATTTCACATATTTACATCTAATAACAAAGATTTGTGAAAAAACAAAACTGCTTAATGTTAAACAGTTGACAAACAGTAGAAGAAAATGTGGATCATATAAAAAAATGTATGAATGTATTTTCTGTAGTGGGAAACATTTGTTTATTTCTTACAAGTAAGTAACAAAAAAATGTGCACATGTGCAAAAATAACATTCTTACCTTTATTCCAGGAGTTCCAGCTTCTCCTGTGGGTCCTGGATAACCTGGAGCACCCTATTATATAAAAACATATGTTCTATCTTGAGCATTTTTAACTTCTGGAACATAAAAGTCACTTGAATAATATTTTCATCACTCTAAATCCACCTTAGCATCAAAATTACTAACTAGTGTTCATAATGCTTGGAGACAGCTTGAATGGGTAATGAAGAAAAACTTTAATATAAGTTTAACATAATAGCTGATGATGACAAAACATTGTACATTTGCTGTTATGTTAAATTTATATGGAAGTTTTTTTCATTACCCATTCAAACCATCTCCAAGCATTATTAGTCTCAAAGTGGGTTCCTCATCATTAAATTCAACTAGTGCTCAATCACTTGATATCTGAAAGATCATGAAAATCACTCTTGTTCTTTATTATTCTAAATTTTAATATCAAAAAATAGTTTTGAAGTTTTCATTTGGCTATTTTCATTTAAACATGAAAGCAATAAAATACATATCTGCAACACTACAATAAAAATGTATAAAGTGTTAATTGCCTCTGTATTGGAAAAAATGTGCATGATGACTTATTTTAGGCCTAACTTGTTCTTCAAACTACAATATTTGCATTCTTTTTTTCACTTTCCTTCTCATAATTTTATTTTGTTCCTTCAACTGGCTTCCAATATACTTATAAGATTTGTCCCATTGTCATTCTTTTACTTCAAAACTATCTGAAAGTAAATTGATATAAAATGTAATAATCAAAGTTTGGCTGATCATATGAGTGGGAAAAAGAGGTTAATCATAAATTTTAATTTCATATAACTTTAAAACAGGGTGTTTGTCATGTTTTTTGGTGGTTTGATCATATGGGTGAGGAAAGAGGTTAATCATAAATTTTCTATTTCATATAACTTTAAAACAGGGTGTTTGTCATGTTTTTTGGTGGTTTGATCATATGGGTGAGGAAAGAGGTTAATCATAAATTTTCTATTTCATATAACTTTAAAACAGGGTGTTTGTCATGTTTTTTGGTGGTTTGATCATATGGGTGGGGTGGTTGATGCACATTAGTTTCGCCTGAAATGTTAATATATTTTAGAATATACTTACAGGTTTGCAATTTGTTTTTATTATTTTGGTCATCCCTGTAGATATGGTTATACTCTTTTAGTTAACATCTGTGACAGATATCCTTATGGTATCGTACCGGCATGGGTTAGGGTGCTTGACTTGCAATCTGAGAGTTGTGGGTTCAAATCCCTGTCCACCAAACATGCTTGCCCTTTCAGCCATGGGGGCATTATAATGTGACAGTCAATCCCACTATTTGTTGGTAAAAGAGTAGCCCAATAGTCTTTCACTACTAAATTAGGGATGGCTAGCACAGATAGCCCATGTATAGCTTTGTGCAAAATTCAAAACAAACAAACAAATCATACCTCAAATTCTTAACACTATCTACTCTCTCTTAACAGTCCTACATATACAGATGGTTTCATCATCACTGATCACAGCATAAGATCTTAAGGGTGGCTCATACAGAACTAAAAGTCTCAGTTTTGACATGTGGTCTGAAAAGCACAATGCAACTAATCTCCCTGCTTTTTAATTCAAACTTGTAATAAAAACAATAAAAACTCACTGGTGAGCCTTTGGGTCCTTCTGGGCCTTGAGGCCCTCTAACTCCTGGTGGTCCCTGTAGACCAGGTTTTCCACTTTCTCCTTTTTGGCCTGGTGGGCCTCGTTTACCCTATAAAAACTTTATTTTTTAAAGAGAGTTTTTGATATGTCAAATTATTTAAATATTAAATAAATTCTCTAAAGTACTGAAATTGAAATGGTTAAGACAAATAATCAAGTTTTCCATAGAATACGTGAGAGAAAATGCATTCAAAGAATCTGGTAAGCTGGTGAGAAACAATTATTTACAAAAGCAAAATAGTAAAACTAAAACCTAGCCATCATTTATGGTCCTCTAAAGCTGCTACTAAGCCTTCACAAACTGACAAGTAGTAAGGGATCAGAAGAGAAGCACACATCAACACATTATTTTTTATTTTCAACTCTTCTTTAAAATGTAAATTTAAGATTCATTTTAAATACATGTACAGTATTTTATTAGATTTTTGTTGTGAAATAAATCAGCTAGAAAAAATAATGAAAATAATATTTAGGTAAGAAAATTAAGCATTGAAAGTATTAGCTTCCCAGGAATTTGTTTATGCCAAAGAAATTTTGGCCCCCATGCTGAGGCCTTCTGGATAACCTGGAGTCTGTATCTATTTCAATGTCTTAAAATTTCATAAAATGAAGTAAGGAATAAAATTTAAATTACAAATATTAGATAACTTTACTAAAACTCTTCATGACCAGAAGCATTTAGAAATCTTATTATAGGGTTATTAGTGAAAACAAAAGATCAAATAAAAAAATCATAAGATAAATAATCATTTCAACAATACAGTTGATGAATTTACTTTAGGACAAGACACTTAGTTTAGGCCTAGCATTGAAACTTGTATACTGTTTAGTTTAGCTCTAGTATTAACACTGGTATACTATTTAGCTTTACATTAACATCAATACTGGTACACTGTTTAGCTTTGCATTAGCATTAATACTAGTATACTGTTTAGTTTAGCACTAGTACTAACACTGGTATACTATTTAGTTTAGTACAAGTATTAACACTGGTATACTGTTAAGTTTAGGACTAGCTGAAACAGTGGTATAATGTTTAGTTTAGCACTAGAATCAACACTGGTATACTGTTTAGTTTTGTACTAGCATTAACACTGGTATACTGTTTAGTTTAGGACTAGCAGTAATAGTGGTATAATGTTTAGTTTAGCACTAATATCAACACTGGTATATTGTTTAGTTTAGCACTAGTATCAACACTGGTATATAGTTTAGTTTTGTACTAGTAATGGTTTACTGTTCAGTTTAAGACTAGTATTTACACTGGAAATACAATATTTTGTAAAAATATATAATAGTTTAGTTTACAGGTCCCTTGTAGTAACTAAACATTATGTTGTATGTTATGTTATATTTTTAGTTCAAGATTAGCATAAACACTGGTTTACAGTAGCCTATGAACAAAATTACTACAACTCACATGTTCTCCATCTATGCCTGGTGGACCTGGAATACCTGGAAGACCTGATTCACCCTTAGGTCCTTGCTTACCTTCTGGTCCTGGAGGTCCTGGCACACCTTCTCCTCCCTATAAAGCAATCAAAAATATTAAGGCAAATAAATTCTTAAAAGCTATGTCTAAACTTTAAGCTATTTGAAAAACAATAAATTAACAGTATCATTCTACCTATTACAGAATGTTTTGATTATTTTAACTATCTCAAACACTAGAAAGTTTTTAACTCAGTTAGGTTTAAATAATTCAAACAGGTAAGAAATTCACAACTTTACTGGCAATAGTTGTTTTTCACATATTTATTACAAAATAATATTAGAGAATAACCTTTGATCCAGGTGGACCAGGTTCTCCTGGCTGGCCTGCAGGCCCAGCTGGTCCTGTTTTGCCTGGATCTCCCTTGCCACCCTTCATACCTTGAGGTCCAGGAAGTCCCTGAGTGACAAAAAGAAAACGTTCCAGCATTTTAGAATAGAAGCAATACCTCTATAAGTAATAGTATGGTTCAGAAAATTATACATTCGACACATAATAAATGAAAACAAAAACACAGTAGAAAAGACTTCAAGAGATGGAAAAATAAGGAAAACATGTTCAAAAATGTTAAACACATGTCTATATCAAAAACTTGTTTTATTATTACTTGCAACATATTTGTTAGAGATGTATGTTTTAACATTTCTGAACATTTTTTCATTACATAATAAATGAAACTTAGTTATAATTAAACAGGGATATGTCTGATTCTTGATTTTGATTATAATAATAACCATGTATGTTGCATAACAAAGTTAAATATTTTTGAGAACTTACTTCATTACAACAAAATTACAGGACACGATAAACTAATGTTTAAAAAAAAATT